ATCCTGACAGCAGCTATGAACATTTGTTGAATACGGCTGGCAAAGTCAAACTCTCAAGTTATGGTCTAATACACAAATGATGAAGCCAAGGATCATTTCGTCCATGCTGCTTCAACTTGAAGTTGCGCACCGGGGGCACGAAGTATCAGCTGATGCCGAAAACATACAGTTCAGAAGAGTTTGCGGCTCCAAGGCGTGGCTGTAGTGCTCAGGTTTGTCGCTGAACACTGCAACTAGAGAATTCGCCTAGGCTGCAAGGGGGTTCCAGAGAATCTTCACTTGTCCCCTCCAAACCCCCCTCACCCATGTCACCTACCCATGTCTTCTGGCCCGGCTCAAGTTCCTGTCCGGCGGGTCTTGGAATTTTCGGGGCCAATCGGCGTCCAGCTCCATGGGCCCATTTTGTTCGCAGAATGACAAAAACTCCCAAAAATTGGTTTTGTGCCGAAAAGCATGACCTCCTGCTGACAAGGCCTGTCTGACGCAGATTAGCCCCCAACCAGCAACCCACCCAAGCACCAGCCCAGCCAGCCCAGGCCCAGCCCCAGCAACCCACTGAAGCAGGCCAGCCCACCCAAGCCATTTGCGGTCCGTGACGCAGACGCTGCGCTGAGGCTGAGCTATCACTACAGCTCTGCTTTAGTTGTCGAGACTTTCTGCGCATGACATCCACTGCCCCAGCACGCAGCCCCACTAACTCTTGGTTTCATGACTCACTCCTGGTCCTACGCATCGCCTTGCCCTTGCCTCGCGGATTCCTCCGCAACTTCGGCCCATGACATCAATTCGTCCGTCCTTCCTGAATCACCGCTTGACCAGCGCTGCTGCTTGCAGTCGAACCACAGACGCTACGCGCTCGGCTGGGCCGAGGTGTTTACAATTTACTTCCGCTGGTGTCTTACGGTGGCTCTTCTAGTAACAATCGGAAACCCGCTGCACAAGGATGCGCAAGGCAAGGCTCCGTTTCAGAAGAACCTGACAAATCTCTGAGGCCATCTGAGGCTAGTCTCTCTCTCTCTCTCTCTCTCTCTCTCTCTCTCTCTCTCTCTCTCTCTCTCTCTCTCTCTCTCTCTCTCGCTCTGACTCTCTCTCTCTCTCTCTCTCGCTGTGTCGGCCTCGTCGACGCCAACACAGTACAGGCGCCAACTTTGTTGCTGCCCACCCTTCTTGGAAGGGTAGATGAGCTGTGAAACAGTGAAACTGCCCAATCTGGCAGCGCATGCTAAGATTCTGCTTGGCCTCTGCGCTCACAGTCACCAAGTCTTGGGCACTGCGCCAGGGCTGGCCAAGCACAGCCTTCAGTTCTCATCTTCCTGGTCAGTTCCCATCACTTTGCTTTGAGTACAATGGCGGTCTGGGAACTGGTTGAAAGCTATGGAAGAGTTGTTCAAGGGTTGCACACACAAGACATGCAGCTGCATCTGCCGTCAATCTTGAAAGCACAAGATGTGAAGAAAAGTGCTCCGCCTCCTCGTCGTCCTCCTCATCTTCGAGTTCCACATCAGGTGCCCAGATTTGAGCGTTGCGCTCCTGTACAGCACTGGTGCATATCACGCACGTGGCAACGGCTGCTGTCAAACATGAGCTTGGCAATTTCAGGACAATCAGGCTGGAACTTGTCTATGTATGAGCAGCGATTTAGATGACGTGTTGAACTTAGATTGCTATGTTTAGTGAGTCATTTTTCTTAGCGAGCCACCAGTCGTTTTCCAAGCTTGCATTTCGCTCTTGCTCAAATTGATAAGTCACCTGTTGCTTTCCACATTTTGTTTTTTAAACATTGCACGGGTCTATTTAATTATATATCTCCCTTTTAATCTGTTTTGAGTACTCTATGTGCCTGTAGTGAGTGTCCCTGCGTGTCCTCGCTCCTTTACTTTCCTTTCTTGTCATTTATTTATTTGTCTTGTTGGTTCCTTTCGCCTGGTCTTCATTTATGCCTTTATTTCTTGAATTGTTTAGTTTATGTTGTTCTTGGGTGTCCTTATTTCGCGCAAGTGTTTATGACATCCAATTATAGCAGGTCTTCCTTCACGTATATATGTCCTTTCATTGTCTTCTAGTATCCGCTCTTGTTCATTGTTCCAGTCTGCGTCATTTGAGTCATTTGTGTGTTCCATGTTCCTTTGTTGTGTTGTTATGTATGCACTTCTCTTATGTATTGTGTTTCTTTGTTTATTTGTGTCCTTATCTCTTGCTTTTAGGCCTCATTTGTATCGTTCTTGTATTTATACATCTATGAAACTTGGTGCTCTATCTTTGTTTATCTCTTGTGTTCTCTTCTTTGCTCGTTCGGTCATTTTGTCTGTCTTCCTTTCTTTCTTTCTTGTTGCCTTTCTGCCTTGCGTCCTTCCACTCTCATGTCTTCCTTGTTTCCTTCTTGCGTTCCTTCCTTGCTTGCTTCGTTCCTCCCTTCCTTCTTGCCTTCCTTCCTTCATCCTTCCATCCTTTCCTTCCCTCCCTCCCTCCCTTTCTTTCCTTCTTCCCCTCTCTTTCAGTCTTCCTCTCTTCCTTTCTTCAACTATTCCTTACTTCCTTACTTCCTTTCTTCCTGTCTTCCTGTCTTCCTGTCTTCCTTTCTTCCTTTCTGAATGAATTTCTTCCCTTCTTCCCTTCTCCCCGTGATCCTTTCTTCATTTCTTCCTTTCTTCCTTACTTCTTTGCTTCCTTACTTCCTTACTTCCCTACGTCCTTTCTTCCTTTCTTTCTTTCTACCTCTGTCTCTCTCTCTCGCTCACTCTTTCCCTCTCTCTCTTTCTTGCTTTCTCGTTCTCGTTCTCTTCGGTATATGTTGTTGTTCTCTTTGTCGTTGTCGTTCTCGTTATCTTGTCCCTGTCTTTCTCTCTCTCTCTCTCTCTCTGTCTTCCTCTTCCCTTTCTGCCTTCTGCTTCTATCTGTCTCTGTCTATCTGTCTCTCTGTCTCTCTTTCTTGCGTTCTTTCTTTCTTTCTTTCTTTATTTCCTTATTTCCCTGCTTCCTTCCTTCCTTCCTTCCTTCCTCTCTTTCTTTCTTTCTTTCTTTCTTTCTGTATTTACTCTCCTTTCTTTATGTCCTTCTTTCTTTCCTTTATTCCTTCCTTTCTTTCTTTGTTGCTTTCTTTATTTCTTCCCTTCTTCCCTTCTCCCCGTGATCCTTTCTTCATTTCTTCCTTTCTTCCTTACTTCTTTGCTTCCTTACTTCCTTACTTCCCTACGTCCTTTCTTCCTTTCTTTCTTTCTTTCTACCTCTGTCTCTCTCTCTCGCTCACTCTTTCCCTCTCTCTCTTTCTTGCTTTCTCGTTCTCGTTCTCTTCGGTATATGTTGTTGCTCTCTTTGTCGTTGTCGTTCTCGTTATCTTGTCCCTGTCTTTCTCTCTCTCTCTCTCTCTGTCTTCCTCTTCCCTTTCTGCCTTCTGCTTCTGTCTGTCTCTGTCTATCTGTCTCTCTGTCTCTCTTTCTTGCGTTCTTTCTTTCTTTCTTTCTTTCTTTATTTCCTTATTTCCCTGCTTCCTTCCTTCCTTCCTTCCTCTCTTTCTTTCTTTCTTTCTTTCTTTCTGTATTTACTCTCCTTTCTTTATGTCCTTCTTTCTTTCCTTTATTCCTTCCTTTCTTTCTTTGTTGCTTTCTTTATTTCTTCCCTTCTTCCCTTCTCCCCGTGATCCTTTCTTCATTTCTTTCTTTCTTCCTTACTTCTTTGCTTCCTTACTTCCTTACTTCCCTACGTCCTTTCTTCCTTTCTTTCTTTCTACCTCTGTCTCTCTCTCTCGCTCACTCTTTCCCTCTCTCTCTTTCTTGCTTTCTCGTTCTCGTTCTCTTCGGTATATGTTGTTGCTCTCTTTGTCGTTGTCGTTCTCGTTATCTTGTCCCTGTCTTTCTCTCTCTCTCTCTCTCTCTCTCTCTGTCTTCCTCTTCCCTTTCTGCCTTCTGCTTCTGTCTGTCTCTGTCTATCTGTCTCTCTGTCTCTCTTTCTTGCGTTCTTTCTTTCTTTCTTTCTTTCTTTATTTCCTTATTTCCCTGCTTCCTTCCTTCCTTCCTTCCTCTCTTTCTTTCTTTCTTTCTTTCTGTATTTACTCTCCTTTCTTTATGTCCTTCTTTCTTTCCTTTATTCCTTCCTTTCTTTCTTTGTTGCTTTCTTTATTTCTTTCCTTTCTTTCCTTCCTTCCTCCCTCCCTTCCTTTCTTTCCTTGATTCTTTCCTTTTTTCGTTCTTCCTTCCTTCCTTTCCTTCTTTCCTTCCTTGTTTCTTTCCTTCCTTCCTTCCTTCCTTCCTTCCTTTCTTCATTTGTTCTTCCTTTCTTTCTTTCCTTCTTTCTTTCCTTTCTTCCTTCCTTTCCTTCTTTGTTTCTTTCTTTCTTTCCTTCTTCATTTGTTCTTCCTTTCTTTCTTTCCTTTCTTTCTTTCCTTTCTTTCTTTCCTTTCTTTCTTTCCTTTCTTTCTTTCCTTTCTTCCTTCCTTTCTTTGTGTATTTCTTTCTTTCCTTTATTTCCATCCTTCCTCCCTTCCTTCCGTCCTTCCTTCCTTTCTGTATGTTTTTCTTTCTTTCTTATTGTTATTTTTATTATTTCTTTCTTTCTTTCTTCCTTCCTTTCTTTCTTTGTTTCTTTCTTTCTTTCTTTCTTTCGTCCTTCCTTCCTTCCTTTCTTTCCTTCCTTCCTTCTAATCTATTTCTTTCTGTCTTTCTTTCTTTCTTTCTTTCCTGTATTTCTTTATTTCTTTCTTTATTTCCTTTCTTTCCTTCCTTCCTTCCTTCCTCCCTTCCTTCCTTTCTTTATCTTTTCTTTCTTTCTTTCTTTCTTTCTTTCTTTCTTTCTTTCTTTCTTTCTTTCTTTCTTTCTTTCTTTCTCTCTCTCTCTCTCTTTCTCTCGCTCTCTCTTCACCCGCTGAAGTTCGAAGAAGATGGCGCGAGCAAAGCGCAAAACCGTTCGTGAAACAAGATATTGTGTAGACCGCCGTGAAGTCCGCAGAGGGTTGCGCGGAGTTTGGAGTTGCAGCACACAACCAAGTCATGCCACTTCCCGCCTCCTCCAATCTCAGCTGCTCCTCAAACCACTCCATGGTGGGGTTCTGCAGCGGGACATTTGGCAGAAATGTCAGCATGCATGAGCCTCTGTAAACACGCATGGCCATAGTGCGATCTGATGCGTGAATAATCTGGATCAACAGGCTGATGAGAGCGGCCTCTGTCAATTGTCTTCTCACGCGGGTCATGCACCTCTCTTCATCCTCAAGCAGTTGTCCGATAGGGTGACTGACAGTGTCAAAACTTTGCGGCTGAAAACTATCCTCGGGCATGTGGGCATGCACCATGACAAAGTTCACTGGGGCACGAAATCAACGCGAGCGCAAGTGGCAACCCTCAAGCGGCAGCAGACAAACAAAATCCTGCGTCTCAATCGCCGTGAGTGTGTGGATGATGTTCATGTCTCGGTTGCCACGATGGTCTGCCTGAGGCCACTGGGAATCGGGTTATCTAAACCCAAGAACGAAACTGTCTTCATAGTCCTCATTCTGAAGGCTCTGGCAGGCAACTTTCAAGCATCGAGGTTAAGGCATTGGCGACGTGATGCCGGTCCTTACACATGATGCATACCTAGCAAACCTTCAGGGGCCTGCCTCGTCGGTGATCAGTCACATGCTGGGCGCTGAACGTTCCACTGGGCACGCAAACCAACTCGTAAAGAAGGCAAGGAGGTTGCCTTCTTCAGTCTCACCTTGCCATTGCAACAAAGAGTGTTCTGCCAACTCGCATCAATCCCAAGTCCAACTGATCGATGAGCTTTTTCTTGAGCACAATCAAGCCGCTTAAAGCTCTGCCTGCAGCGGCTTCATCGCCAAACAAAGATGCCCCAGCCCTCAGCACAGCCGCGGGAAAGCTGTGGCTGCGTGCAATCCGGTGAAGCAGCAGCATTGGCAAGAATTCGCCAGCCTGCAGGTGGTTTGGGTCGGCGAGCCTCCGCAGGACTGACACACATGCAAGGCAGAGTGCTATCTTTGCATGTTCGCGCCACACAAGCACACCAAGCACACCAAGCACACCAAGCACACCAAGCACGCCAGGCACACCAAGCACACCAGGCACACCAAGCACACCAAGCAAATCAAGCACATCAACAACACCAACCACGCCAACCACCGTTGCACACTGTTGCTTGCACCCGCCAGGTGGCCCAAATCGAATATATTACATCCACACAGTCACATCCAGCGCAAATGCTTGGCCATCTGTAGGTGATACGTTCTACCAACGCAACCAAAAACGTCAAAGGTGGCTGGCAGCACAGGGCTTGGATGTTTTGGGGCAGAATAGATGTAACACTGACGACAAATGCGATGTCACTGCTGATACGGCGAGGGAAAACTCAGGTTGATGTCAGCTGTTCTCTCCAACATGAGGGCTGCCTCGCGTCAAAACATGCAACCCACCCGCACGCTGATGCAGCAACGTGCCTGGAGCTTTGGCTTTTGAGGCTCCTCTGCTTGAGAAACCTGCAGCACACGCATACACACAAACACACACATGCATGTATGCATGGGCGTACATACAAACTGTAAATCGCTACTGCGCCAAAAGTACTCTGTACAAAGCTTTTCATGGCTAATTTCTGCTGGGTTGCCAAAGATTCCTGTTGACATTGGCATCAAGACTTCACTTGAAGAGAATTGCAACGCAGCCAAACTGTGCTTAATAATTGTTATGTGCACGCTAGAAATCCCAGGACAGTGGCGAAAAGATTGAGAGGCATCAGAACTGCAAACTTGCAACAGGTAATGCGCTAAGCATGAGGAGCGCTCCAAAATGCCAGAAATCCAATACAGCGCGCAGCTTGTTGACTTTCCAAGGCAGATCAAACAGCACGGTACGAAGAGCTCAATTTTCCAAGCCTGATCCCAAAAGGCAGCGGATGTGAGTGCAGCAATCCCCTCAACATCGACTGATGCCTGCAACAACATTGCCAACATGCCCCTTTAAAGCAAGTACGTGACTTAGAGGTTCTGCAGTATGACAACGGGCTGCCAAGAACACGATTCCTTAGAGATGCCAGTGACGTGTTGTTGGAGTTCTTCTTGCAAGAAACGCTTACAAAAAGTTCAAGTGTGTCCCTCAGGAAGTCTTGTAGCTTAAGACAATTCTTGCATATCCTCCTCAGTGCCTCAAAAAGGAACACGCAGTGTTGCCTATAGCCCAAACAACATGGACAAATGCCCCTATGGGTGCCCTGCCGCTTGAAGGCTTGAACCTGCCTTTTTGGGAAGGAATCAAAGCTTTCTTTCAACGGACCCAGAACCATTGCTAACAACGCTTGAACTAAAATAGGAGACCAAGATTCTCCAAAAGGTCTTCAGCAATCTTGGTTCTCGGCTCTTGAGTCCAAAGCGCTACAGAATGTTTGGAAGCAGTTGGCTAAGTAGCTAGGTAGCTTCGCTAGCTAGTCGGTTGGCCAATCAACTTCTTGTCGGCTAGCAAGAGAGCCAGCTACTTCGCCAATTAAGTAGATTACGGCTTAGCTGCTTCTTCGATGCTTTGATAGCTACTTAGTTAGCCAACGAACAATAAGAACAACGCTGCGCTTTTGAGGGTCAACCTGCGACAGTCCGCAGAGGCTTCGCAATTCGATGGTTGCGCAGACTGGAACACGCAAAACACACGGAGTCGTCCGCGGAGCGTTCACCAATCGACGGTTTGCGAAGCAGTGCATGCGGCCGTGCCAAGGGGCCCGCCCCTGGCATTTGCACGCATGGAAGAGCTGAATTCATGCACAGCACCATGTCTGCTGCCCGGTTCTCGCAGTTCCCGGCATTTCACACTTATGCACGCGAGAGCACATATTCCTCAAGAAACGCACAGTTCAGTCTGTTGCAGTGCTCAGGCAGCTTTGGTCAAACTTTCTTTGAGAAATACACAACCCTTTGCACCCGCCTTTGTGCACGCGTGATATGTATACGACCATACATCTGTATACATATACATATGTATATGATATATAGACATACATGTATATATATATATACACGTTTATATTAAGGGAAGTCAGGTCATTTTTCGTGAATGCTCACCCAGTGAAATTGCATTTGCTTCTACTTTCTGAAAGATTTGTGTGGCATTCCTTCTTTTGACCCTTGTTGAATCACTGCATAAATCTTCCGGCCTTAAACTAAATTTATTTCAGCACAAGTTAATTTCAACATAGCATCAGAAGCAAAGAAAAAAGGCACAGTGTAAAAGCGAAGTTGCGTAAAGCGTCATGACACAGCGTCTAAGCCATAACTTTTCATACATGAATCTCTGAAGTGTTCAACAATATCAATCAATAATAAAACTCCTGCGTTCACATCAAAATCGTGACTTTCGCTCACGTTATGCTGTAAAAAGTGTCCACATTAGGGTTCAGGTTTAGGGTGTAGGATTAGGGTTTAGGTATAGGTTTAGGGCTCAGGTGTAAGGTGTAGGTTTAGGGCTGAGGTTTAGGGTTCAAGTTTGGGGTTCAGGTTGAAGGTGCAGGTTTAGGGCTTAGGGTTGAGGTTGAGCGTTGAGGTTTAGGGTGTAGGTTTGGGGTTTAGGTTTAGGGTGCAGGTTTAGGGTCTAGGTCAATTGCGTGCCCCTCTGTCTTCAAAGCTTCTTGAATTGGCTTCGACAAGCCGAGCTGCGCTCGTCTGTGAGCCAAATTCGAGCACGATGTGACGAAGACGGCGAGCGCTTCAAGCGGCTTGGTTTTTAGTTGCGGGCGTGGGGCGCAGGCAACCTCAGGGGCTGGCCGTAATGTTATCCTGGAGTTATCCTCGTTCAATTGACTGCAAAACATCTCTGTGAGAGTACCGGCTCAAGGGTATCAGCAATAATGCAAACAATGCCTCTTCTGATTCGCCTACGAATCTTCGATTTCTCATCTCATGCGCAGATCCTCTTCGTCTCTCAATTTAAAACCTGTGCCAATACCTAATACGAATCTTCGATCTCTCATCTCAACTCACGCGCAAACCCCAAATTTAAAGCGCTTTGAAGCTTTTCTGGCCACCTACGGTCACAGTCAAAAGGGCAAATGCGAGCAAAGTTAAATGCTCAAATGAGGGGTGCCTGAAAAAGGGGTGGACATCACCCAAAGTGCTGCAAATACCGTCAAAATCTCTTGGGGCCTTTTTTTGGGGGCACATACATATACATATATAAATATAAGTTTTACACATTTTGGACACACGCACACACGCGTGCAAGCATGCACGCCTGTATGTAGGAAATTATCCACATGCTGTTCTCATCCAGTGAGTAGCAAGCAAGGAAGCAAGCAAGCAAGCAAGCCAGCAAGCAAGCAAGCACAGGCAGGCAGGCAGGCAGGCAGGCAGGCAGGCAGGCAGGCAGGCAGGCAGGCAGGCAGGCAGGCAGGCAGGCAGGCAGGCAGGCAGGCAGGCAGGCAGGCAGGCAGGCAGGCAGGCAGGCAGGCAGGCAGGCAGGCAGGCAGGCAGGCAGGCAGGCAGGCAGGCAGGCAGGCAGGCAGGCAGGCAGGCAGGCAGGCAGGCAGGCAGGCAGGCAGGCAGGCAGGCAGGCAGGCAGGCAGGCAGGCAGGCAGGCAGGCAGGGCAGGCAAGAAGGCAAGCAAGCAAGCCAGCAGGCAGACAAGGCAGGCAAGCAAGCAAGCCAGCAGGCAGACAAGACAGGCAAGAAGGCAAGAACAAGGGGGCAAGCAAGCAAGCCAGCAAGCAAGCCAGCAGGCAGACAAGGCAGGCAAGCAAGCAAGCCAGCAGGCAAACAAGACAGGCAAGAAGGCAAGAACAAGGGGGCAAGCAAGCAAGCAAGCAAGCCAGCCAGCCAGCCAGCCAGCAAGCAAGCAGCCAATCAACTGCCGGCCTGTGCGTCAGGGTCATGAGCCTCCCAAGCTTCATCTGCTGCATGCCCCTGCGCGACCAAAATACATCACATGCTGTTCCATGAAGGACCAACATGCTGCTTGCCGTGTTCACGCTGAGCTGTAGAGCGCAACATCTATCGGAAATTCAACTTCATGGGCCTTCTTTTGCTCTTTCGCCTCCTTTGCCTTCTCTCGTTTTCTTTCTTCCCGTCGGAGGCGCCGCTCCTCTTCCTTTCGCTTCTTCTCCTAGCCGCTGAGTCCTTCCCACTGAATTCAGGACTTCCCTTGTGATTGAACGGAAAGAGCAGTCAAGCCTGAGCGATCTGCTTATAAACTCTGGTGGATCTTGCAAGCCCGAGAACCCATGGCTGTGGTTCTGCAAACAAACCATATGTAGCACATACAACGGGCGTTGGAAGCTCTGTTCAACATGGTTGACCAACACGGGCCATTGCTAGATGGGCCACTCACATATCACGCTGGTGAGGCCAAACCTACCCTAGCTTGCCTCCTCAGCTATTTGCGCTTTCAAATCTTTTGCAGCCTCCAGCTTCAATTGCTGGCGTGTCTTCAGCTTGTAAAATGTGAGCGGCAAGCCACGTGCCTTTTCGTCAATCTTTTCAAACCCAATGCGCCCATCATCCTGACAACCATAACGCAGCAAAGGAATGCGAAGGGTCTGCACTAGCCGTAGATTAATCGGACCTTCTCCAAAAACTCAAACGTGCGGCGCCTCAGCGTGCAAACAATACTGGCAGGCCTGAAGCTGAAGCTGCCTCTTGTTCCATCCAAAATACCAGTATCAGCCCTAAAATCCATGCAGAACCATCTCCAAAAAGCACAAGGGATGGCAAAACCATTCACGAAAACCTACGACTAGTAGACTGCCCTTAAATAAAGCTAAACCCAAAAGGAAACATTGTCGGAGAAACTTATAAAACTATTAAAAACTATCGCGCCCCCTCCCCCCCATGTGGTTGAGTGAGTTTTGCATTCATCAGCTGACACAAAATGTATTCTTCCAAAACAAAACACCCTCCCCGCCCATTGGTTCCAAACAAACAACTACCTTAGTGTTGCCCAACACTAACACAAAAACAAGGCTTGCGCAACACTGGACAGGTCCCCACCCTGATTTTGCCTCACTTAGCTTTACTTGAGGGCCATGGATATTACTGCGGGGCTTTTTGAACGCCTCCCTTGGGATGAGTATGTCATCTTGCACATGACCCGATCATCAGGTAGTGTGTACTCTTGGAAGATACTGCTAGGAACGTTTGCGCTGGCGCCTACACCGTATCCAAATGCCACTCAGGAAAGCCTATACGATGCGCGCACGTCGGCATCAAAGTGCCCATTTTCAAGATCTATTCCAATGCCATTTCACTCAAGGCCTGGTGCGCACATAGCCCACAACAAAGAATTTCAGAATGGTGTGTCCTGGTTCGCTTGAGTTGCTACTATACAAGCACACTTTCACACATGCGCTTCGCAAATCTCGAAACATTTACACAGTTGTTGCTCATTACCGAAGCATACAGAACTCCGTGCTAGAATAGTATCTTTTTCCCAGCAGCTCGAAGCTTTGCGGGCTCTACCCAAAAAAGCTCCAGAGTTCGGAGCGTTTCCGGGATAGGGGTTGGGTTGGAATTGCTTGTTTTGTGAAAGGAAAGGGAAATGCGTTTAAGCCAAAAAATCACTGGCTGGATCCATCAGTCAGCACAATATCCGCCAACCCCTTGCCAAAAAGGGCTGGCGCACGGGACAGGTGGCTGGCACATGAGCGTAACCGGAGATTCATCATCATCATCATCATGCTCATTATCATCCTTGTGATCATCATCAGTCATCATGGAAATCATCAAGCTTGCCTCGTCGCCCTTCTCGTTTTCAAGTAGACAGGATTATCATCATGACTTCTGGTGATGCTGGGGCCGCATAGCTATGATTATCATCATGGCTGTCTCATCACCATCATCATTATCATCATCATCATCATGATCATCGCCGCCCTTATCTTTTTGCCACAAGTGTGCCGTTAGAGTTGACTTGAGATGCAGGGGGTGCGTAACGGTGTTTGTAATCACGACTGCTGGTGATGCTGGGGATGCATCCTAATGAATATTATGGCTGGCATCATCATCACTGGTGGTGCCATGCACAACTTTGTTCTGTCCATCATCCTCATCATCATCCTCATTATCCATCATCAACCATCATCCATCATCCATCATCCATCATCCATCATCCATCATCATCACCATCATCATCTTCATCATCATCAATCATCATCCATCATCCATCATCCGCCTAGTCATGAATTATTAACATCATTGTCATCATAAGCAAATGCTGCAAGTGATGCTCGTCATTTTAGTCTTCCCGCCCCCAGTCGCATCCTCAGCATCGAAGGTCGGCGGCGCAGGCGGGCAGCCCCATAGAGCTTCGCTCTATTGATTTGCAGTCCTTTCCCGCAATTCCTTTCATTTCCTTTTCCCCGTAATTTCTCCTCTTCCCTATTTCGCTTCAATTTCCTTTCCTTTTGTTTCGCTTCTTTTCCCTTGTTGTCACTTCATTTCCCTTCAGCTCCCTTCATTTCCCCTCATGTCCCTTCATTGCCCTTAATTTTCCTTCATTTCCTTCCCGTTCAGCTCCCTTCATCTCCCTTCATGTCCTTTCCTTTCCCTGCATTTTCCTTCGTTTCCTGCCCCCTTCATTTCCCTTCCTTCCATGCAGTCCCTTCGCTTCCCTTCATTTTCCCTTCATTTCCCTTTACGTCCTTTCAGCTGCCTTAATTGCCAATCATTTCCCCTCATTTCCATTCTCGCTTCATTTCCCTTCATTCTCTTTCATGTCCTGTCATTTCCTCCCATTCCGTTTCCCTTCTGTGGGTTCATCTCCCTTCATATTCTTTCATGTCCCTCCAGTCCCTGAATTTCCCTTCAGTTCATTGCCATTGTTCCGTTAATTTCCCTTGGTTTCCCACAATTTTCCTTAGCCCTTCACTTTCCCTTCCTATCCCCGCATTTCCCTTCAATTCCCTCCATGTCTGTTCATGTCCTTCACTTTAGTTCTCCTCCAGTCCCGACTTCATTTCCTTCATTTCCCTTCATCTCCTGTTTCCCTTCATTTTCCCTCACCTGCTTTCACTTCCCACCCCGTCCAGACCCTATCCTTTTCAAAAAAGGTCGCACGACGCCGCCCGCGAAAGCGGTTCCCTGCGAGAGCCAACATGAATAACACCGATCTGAATGCGTGTCCAACTTTTGATGCGGTACTGCAAATGTTCGCCACTGGTCCGTCTATCACGTGTTTTGTCGGTAGCCTTCCAGGATACTCACTTTTGCGAAACAGCCTGTTTCATACTACGAATTGCACAGTGAGAGGCTTCTGTGGCAAAGTGGAGAAATGATGGACCCAACAAATGCTCAATGTCAGGCTCCAGCTAGAGGCCCCATGCTGGGAGCCGAGCTCATTGCCAGAAAACTTGCACTCGTAGCATAGCTCAAGAAACCTCAACGCAGCAGTCACCCACTTTACCCATGGCCACAACACTTCTGGCAACCGCAAGCAATGGTTGAGTTGCAGTGGAGCAACCGGCGATAATCCATGGAGCAGCTTCCATCATCCATCTGCAAGCGCGGGGCTGGTTTGCCGGCAAGCACGGTTGGTAGCGCATCCAGCCAGCGCATGGTGAAGCAAGTGAACCTTCCATTCGTGAGTTGCCCTGGTGCTACGAGAAGCGCCTCCAGCATCATTGCGAAGTTGTTTCCGAAGCGCTCCTTGATTTTGATCTGCAAGGCCTGCAGCAAAGCAGAATATCACACTTGCAAAAAGCGGGCGCTCCTCAAAGTCTTTGCCGATCCGGGGCTCAAACCTGTCAGCTGCAGTCGATATGTTTTTGCACCCCTTGGTCCTAAAACCGCACATTAGCTGAAGCAGGCCACGTGTACCTTTGTCAGCTCCAGATTGAAGATTGCACAAGCTTAACGCGAAGCGCGTTTTGCAACTTCTCCGTACACATGCAGCGCGCGAAGCTCACCGCCGCAGCTCCGTAGCACACAGGAGGAAACATAGCAGCAGCAGGAGCAGTAGCCGCTTTGAGTAGTAGCAGTAGGAGCAAATTTGATAGTAGCCGTAGTGGTAGGAGTAGGAGGAGGAGGATGCAATCAGTGTGAAACTTGGTCACTAGTTGCACCCCTACAAACAGTTTAATTTTTTGTGGTGTTAGTGGGCTAGAGGAAGGCCAACCGCTTTGCAGAAAAGTTAACGTCCTAACAGCTAAGGAGAAAGCAGCAAAGCAGCGCTAATCTTTTACCAAGTCCTTGGCATGAGGTAGTTGGTTCCCTTCTCACCGAGGGAAAGTGAAAGGCGAGCGCTAAAAGCACCCAAAAAAGACGCTAACATTTTGCCGTCTTTTTGAAGAACGACGAAAAACAAAAATTGTTCACACGAAGAAGGATCCGTGGACACGCCAAGAACAGCTCGCATCAGTCCAAAGGAGCACCTCGACACAGGCTCCTCGAACAACATCCCCAGCATCCCCAGCATCCCCAGCATCCCGCGTACTTGCTGAACACCAATGCCACTCACGAAGCCCGGAACAAGCGCTGGCCCTTGAAGATCTCGAGCCGCGCCGGTTGCGGCGGGCCATCCTTTTTCAAGCCGTAGTTCTCCGCGCTGGTCTCCCAGTCAGTCGGCAGCTTGGCCAGGGCCTTCTTGCGGCGCTGCTTGAAGAAGACCCCCGGCCGACAGGTCGTTCAACCAACTGAGCCCCGCGCCAACTGCAGGTCGTCTCGCTCTTCGTCTTGCAATTTGGGAGGGGACGCTTGCCCGCAGCGCGGCCAACTTCTTCGTCAGTTTAGGATCCTCGCAGCGGTGGTTGGCAGCTGCCGGAGCCGCAGAAGAACGCGACGAAGGTTTCCGACAGCGCGGCGTGGCGACATGTCAAGGCTTTGTAGTTCACAGGCGGGAGTCGCCCAACATGACCAGGCGCGGCAGCTGGTCGGCCGTCCGCCACATCGCATCCAGGCCGTCCATGTGCTCAAAGCTCAGCATTGAGAGCTCGTCCACGACCACCAAGTCGCACTGCGTCAGGATGGAGCGCCTCGTTGAGATCTTTGTGACTGAGGAAATCTCAGCTGCGAGCTGACCTGTCGGCAGCGCCAGGAGAACCTGTGCCCTGCGCACCTTCCATTCGCAGGTGTGGACGGCCGCCGTCTTGCCAGCACCGGGCGGCCCCAACGCCGCAAGGATCTTCAAGCTCTCCGCCGTCCGCAGCGTTGCCTCGTATCTGCCCATGAGCGCTCTCAAGCGCTGTTGGCAGGGGTCTAGGGCCAGACGCCCAGCTTTGCTGCCGCCCTCCGGCCACTCCCCTCCAGCTCCTCGTCTGAATCGAGCTCGCCCTGTAAGTAGCGGCGCCGCTGCGCCGGCCAGGCCAAGACTGTGACGATGCGGTCATCGCTGTAGGCTTCAAGCTCCATGTCCTTCCGCACCTGCGGCTCGTCGCCCCAATACTCCGGCGCCTTCTCCAAGGCGCAAGCGAAGTACTTCAACTTCTCCGGCGCGTGTTCTAACAGCAGCTACACGCGCAGAAACACGAGCGCCCCTAGCATCCCCAGCATCCCCAGCATTCCTGGGGCAGGTCCACGCGCGAAGCACGTAAGCAGTAAGCAAGCAAGGAGAAGCCAGCAACCAAAAATAACGGCTAAGGAGAAACTGCCGTCTTTTTTTCGACCCAGAAAAGGCAAAAGAAAGCAGGCAAAATGAGCAAGCTCAACGCAGAAAGCACCTTGCAAAAAAAATACACACAGTAAAAACACACAGGTTTTTTGCGCAAAAATTCCGAGCTGCTCCCGGACAGATGGAAAAGACGCCCAAAGTTTAGCCGTCTTTTTTTGGGCGCGACATTCTGCAAATCAGGCCGAGCGGCCAAACCCCCCCCGGCTCCCCTCTGCGGTCCAACCCAACTCTCAACCACTTCAAAGAAACGCTTTCCGGCGTCAGCCATCCAACAAGCTCCAGAATTGGCTTTGCTTTAGCGGTGGTAGTCGTAGCAGTAGCAGCGGTAGCCGACATTGTAGTGGCAGTGATAGTAGCAGCAGCAGCAGCAGCAGCAGCAAGTAGGAGTAGGAGTAGGAGTAGAAGTAGAAGTAGGAGTAGGAGTAGGAGTAGGAGTAGGAGTAGGAGTAGGAGTAGGAGTAGAAGGAGGAGGAGTAGTAGTAGTAGTAGTAGTAGTAGTAGTTGTAGTAGTAGACTTTAGTAGCGCTAGAAGTAGTAGAAGAGAGAGGGACGCCATGAACTCGCCCCGAACGCCTTTCTTTGCCACCAATTGGGCCCATCCTACGCGGGCGAGGGAAGAGACAATGGCTCTCACCACTCCATCCCCTTGCTGGGATAACGGTTAAGAGGAAGGGAATGATAGGAAGGAGATAGCAAGAGTTCTAAGAAGACAAAAGGAGAATCTCTGTGCCCCACCTTGCTCCTCACTACGAGCTAACTACTTGCGTGATCTCATTTCCAAGCTTCCGATGGGAGGGAGCAGATAGTAAAGAAATAGTTCACCAAACGGCTAAGAACGAAAAAGGACCAATGCGACAAAAAGGAATCTTAAAGAGCACAGAAAATTCGACGAAAAAAGGCGGCAGAAGTTAGTAAGCATTTGTCTAGGCTTTTCTTGGTTGTGCATCTTCGGATTAATAGTCTTCTCTAGATCAGGCTGGAGACGGTTTGCCTCTGATGAGGGGCTGCTCGCTCGCCAACGCGCTCGCAAGGCTAGAGCGCTTTGCGCCGCTGCGCTGCTCGCGCAGTTGCTCTGCTGCGTTATGGAACCTTGCGCTGCTGCTGCGCTGGCGCGCTGTTACACCGTTGCGAGGCGGCGCCAACGCGCTACGGAGCAAGCGGCGGCTACCAAACCACTGGCTGGCGGGGGTGCCACGGCACGGCTAGCAAGCCGATCAGCTGGCACCTTTGCAATTTGGCTCTTAGTTTTTGGGAGCGATAGAGCAACAGAGCGGAGCTACGGAGTGACGGAGATGAGACACGGAGCATCGGAGCGGAGCACCAGGGCAACGGATTGACAAAGCGACAAGCAGTGTTCGTGGGCACCGGGCAACGGGGCAAGGCAACAGGCCAACGAAGCGACTTAGAGCAACAGAGCACCGACCTACCGGAGTAATGGAGCAACAGAGCGATGCAGCGCGGTGGAGCAATGGAGCAACAGAGCAACAGAGCAGAGCAGCGGCGGCCTAGCGGAGCAACAGGGCAACTTGGTTTTTGGAGCAACAGCGCAACGGAGCTGCAGAGCGCGACGCACTGAAGGAACGGAGCAAGTTTATTTTGCGGAGCACGGGTTTGCAGGGCGGGGGAACAGCGCAGCTTTGCGGAGCAACGGGGTGCGACAAAGCAAAGCAGCCCTGATGAAGAGGAACCCTGGGTTCCATTTTAGGCCGATGTCATACCAGGAATGTTGATCAACCCCCATATTACACTGCGCTTTATTTCATCTGCGCCCAAAAGTTTCAGGACTCCCTAACATGTGGGCAAAGACGATGATTGAACCAACCTTCACACTGTTCAGCTGCTACAAAGCAGCTGCATCCATAGGTAAAATCAAACAGTCAAAGTAAAGATGCCAATACTGGCTCATGGTCACACAAAAAGACCCCGCCAACACTTCTCACACATGCATGCATAGATGCAGAGCCACACACACAGGCACAAACACACCGACAGACAGACACACAGACACAGCATACGTACACACGCATGTACGTGCGTACATACTGACACGTGGAGCATCTTGAAAATCAGCTACGCCCAGTGACAGGAGCCGCTCGCGGAGGTATAGAGAAGAGTTGGTGCTTTCTATGATGGAGGCCCCAATCAAACACTGCGAGCGGGGTGAGCCCCGCTAACATGCTCCATGCTTCACGCCTGCTTGCCTGGTGCTCTTGGACTTGATAGTTCTTAGGGCAACCCTCTATAGTTGGTGGCTTGGATTGGCGGCTTGGAGATTCGAACTGTCTCTCTGACCGTATGCACGTTTGTATGATATACATGCATGCATATGTGAATGTATGTGTGAATGTATGTATGTATGTATGTGTGAATGTATGTATGTATGTATGTATGTATGTATGTATGTATGTATGTGGGGTATGTATGTGGGGTATGTATGTATGTATGTATGTATGTATGTATGTATGTATGTATGTATGTATGTATGTATGTGTGTGTATGTATTTATATGTGTATGTGTATGTGTGTATGTGTGTATGCAAGTATGTGTGTATGTATGTATGTGGGGTATGTATGTGTGGTATGTATGCGTGTATGTCTATGTATGTATGTATGTATGCATGCATGTATGTGTATGTATGTGTATGTATGTGTGTATGTGTGTATGTATGTATGTATGTATGTATGTATGTATGTATGTATGTATGTATGTATGTATGTATGTATGTATGTATGTATGTATGTATGTATGTATGTATGTATGTATGTATGTATGTATGTATGTATGTATGTATGTATGTATGTATGTATGTATGTATGTATGTATGTATGTATGTATGTATGTATGTATGTATGTATGTATGTATGTATATGTGTATGTGTGTGTGTGTATGTGTGTATGTGTGTATGTGTGTATGTGTGTATGTATGTATGTACGTATGTATGTGTGTATGTGTGTATGTGTGTGTATGTGTGTATGTATGTGTGTATGTATGTATGTACGTATGTACGTATGTACGTATGTACGTACGTACGTACGTATGTATGTATGTATGGATGGATGGATGTATGGTATTCATGTGTGTAGGGTATGTTGGTATGTATGTTGTGTGTATGTTATGTTCGTAGGTATGGCGTGTTTGGTATGCAATGGCATGTGTGGTATGCAAGGTATGCATGATATGTTGTGTGGTGTTACGTGCTGCATGTAGTGTATGTAATGTGTGCAATATATGTAATGTAGTGCAATGTTCCTCTCCACTTCTTATCTTAGAAGTAGCAGCAGTAGCAGCAGCAGCGGTAGCAGAAGTAGCAGTAGTAGTAGCAGCAGCTGCAGCAGGAGCAGTAGCAGTCGTAGCAGTCGTAGCAGTGTCAGCAGTAGCAGCAGCAGTAGCAAAAGAAGCAGGGGTAGCAGTAGCAGCAGTAGTCGTATCAGTAGTAGTAGTATCAGTAGTAGTACTAGTATCAGTAGTAGCAGTAGCAGAAGTAGCAGAAGTAGTAGCAGTTGCTATAAGATTCGTAAGACTTCCTCCAGAGTGGCTGCATTTCGGCACGCGCAGCGACCAAAAAAGCAGAGCGCGGCAGAGACTCGCCAGCCTTGCTGCATCCAGCACGCAGGACGACTCACTCCCAGAAGGGGTCGAGCGCGCATCAGGCAACTCTACAGCCAAAATGCACAACAGCATTTTCCGGCAACAAAACAGCAGCGTACCGCTCAGGTCTCCATCTAAAAGCATAGTGCTACTTTCTCCCACAAAGAGTGAGCATTCGCATCAGGCAATTGCGCCGAGAAAGCGTAGAACATAATTTCCTGGTAGCATGCCAAAGGCGTGTCCCGAAAAAAACACCGAACACTACATTTTGCGCAAGCGCGATGTTGTAGTAGTTGTAGCAGCGGCAGCAGCAGTAGTTGCAGTAGTAGTGGTGGCAATAGTAGTAGTAGCAGTAGTAGTAGTAGTAGTAGTAGTAGTCGTAGCAAAAGTAGTAGTAGTAGTAGTAGTAGTAGTAGTAGTAGTAGTAGTAGTAGTAGTAGTAGTAGTAGTAGTAGTAGTAGTAGTAGTAGTAGTAGTAGAAATGGAGTAGTAGTGGTAGCAGCAGTAGTAGCAGTAGTAGAGCAAAGTATATCTGGTAGGAGGCCGGGAATGAAGCGATGACATGTGAGTATGTGTTCTTTTTCTCAGCCTCATCTTTCCTGAAGGTTTTGGTTGTTTGAAAGCACTTGTTGTCAGCCCCCGTCCGGACGCTCATGCGTGGTACCTGATTTTCTTCCCTGAAGTTGAAGCTTCGATGCGCCCCCACAGAATTCTCGGAACCGAGCTGGGCCAGAGTCAGCTTCTCTTCGGTTTTGGGTACCATGTCCCATGCCTCAAGAGCAGCTAACATATTCTCCTCAAAACAGAACGGCCTCGCAGCAAGAGCCGGAGATGCGGCTCATTCTGCTCATGCTGTTGCAACGCGGACGCAACGCTGTTGCAACGCTGGACAAGTCCCCGGCTTTTATTGCGTCCCTGCTCTCTATGCCAGCCTACACGCCAATTGATCTGCAGGACGCGCACACACACACACACACAGCCGGACCTGTTCAAAGAAGCGCAGCCACCCGTCTCGTCCTCAGCTATCAGCGCCAGTCTGCTCAGCCTGCGGCTGCCACGACTCGCCTATCTCCTTTGTGACACTGCCATGGGTGTTCTTCCAGGCACCTCTGCCGAACGCTTCTCTCCAAAAATGTGGATCCCAGCTGCTGTCACATTAAGTCTAAGCTCGCAGCGAAGCATGCTGCCATGTTTCCGACTAAGCCGCTGCTTCATCTTTTCCACCGCGCGCCGGGCTGGCTGCTTTGCTCGCTCCTGGCGATAATCAACTTTGGACACATGTGTGTCACGAAGAACATCTGCGACAAAAAAATTTGACTGTCCTGCGCGGCATGCTCGATTCCGCTCAGTGCTCCATCAGTCTGCTCCTCAAGTGTGTGAGCCACAGTCAACAGCAAGACGAGTGTTGGGTTCGAATGAGTAGATCTCATGATGTACTTCTAATTGGTGAGGGTGCGCCATGGCGTCTTCGTTTCTACAGCACATGACTGTTCGCCATGTAATTTGCAGTATTGAATCATTGAGGAGGCGTGAGACGCATGAGAATGCAATATGTCAGCTATGCATGGCAGACCTTGAGTCCAGGCAAATCCAGCCGGTCCTGCGATTGCTGTTGGCGCTCTTGAATTTGGCGGCGCATCTGTGTTGCGAGCATTGCATCTTCGGCGACCTCACTGTCAATAAGAGACAGTCGAATTTCGCCGGTGCGCTTTGGATCCAGGAATTCCATAAGCCTGAAGATGCCATCGGTTGCTTTGACTTCGTGGCACAGCACTCGAAATGCCTCTCGAGAAACGATCCCCATACCATCCACATCCACACTTTCGAAGGCATCCTGGAGACTGCCATAGCGGTCCTCGCAAAGATCCTTGAACTTTTCCAGCATCGCAGGAGTTTTGGGGTCGAGGCAATCCAAGCTGATCTGTTCGGTTTCCTTCGACATGCAGGCCTGGAATATCCTTTCTGCTTTGAATCTCAACGCGTGCTCGCCACCTTCTGGGGGCATCAGACCAGCTCTCTTCAAAGCTTTCATGAGCTGATCTACGTTCTCGATGGCAAGTTTCAGCTCTGGGTCCAGCGCAAGGCGCCATGCCTTTGCAATGCCTAGTCGGACATATGCAAGTGACATGACACCACAAGCGTTGGCCCCTATCTCTATTTCTCTCTCCCTCTCTCTCTATCTTTATCTAAGTGGCTTCCAAATTTGTCTTGAAGAGCTCGAATGAACTCCTCCCTAGCATCACGAGCATCCTTCTTTGAATTCCACTCCTCTAGTACGTTCCCGCGCATGGTATCTTGTTTTGCCAGCAACTCTTTCGCTGGCGGAATCACAACCGCGGCGATCTTCTGCTCCAGCAACGATTGTCGATTCTCGTGATACTTTCTTAGAAACAGCGGCACAGCCTTCTCCTCGTTGTGTTGCTCGTTCAGAATGCGCAACGTTCGCGTGTTCACATATCCGACATTACCCGGATCCAAATGCTGAAGCAGGCGGTCTGGATCGCCCGGATAATCGATGGCATTCATCACCTTGTAATACTCGTCAGCTTCCACTGGCGCTCCGGCTTTCTTGCTTTTCCCAGGCCCAGCAGCAACCTCGGAGACCTGAGACAGGTTGAGGCCTGATCCATCTATCAGATCTTGTGGGTCTGATTCGAAAGCGCTCTGCTTTAGATGTTCCGTGCGCATATGTGGAGTGCTTGCGTGTGTTACGTGTGTTACGTTGTGTTACGTTGTGTTACGTGTGTTACGTGTGTTACGTGCGTTACGTGTGCTACGTGTGCTAAGCGTGCTACGCGTGCTACGCGTGTTACGCGTGTTACCAGTGTTACGTGTGTTACGTGTGTTGCGTGTGTGTGTGTGTTGTCTGTGTGTGTTGTGTGTGTGTGTTGTCTGTGTGTGTTGTGTGTGTGTGTTGTGTGTGTGTGTTGTGCGTGTGTGTTGTGTGTGTTGTGTGTGTGTGTGTGTTGTGTGTGTTGTGTGTGTTGTGTGTTGTGTGTGTGTGTGTTGTGTGTGTTGTGTGTGTTGTGTGTGTTGTGTGTGTTGTGTGTGTTGTGTGTGTTGTGTGTGTGGGTGTTTGTGTGCGTGCGTGCGCGCGTGCGTGCATGTGTGTGTGTGTGTCCCTGTGTGTGTGTGTGTCTGTGCGTGTGTGTCTGTCTGTGTGTGTGCTACGTGTGTGTGTGTGTGTCTGCATGTTACGTGTGTGTGTCTCTTGTGTGTCTGTATTTACGTGTGTTACGTGTGTGTGTTTCGTGTGTGCAGTACGTGTGCCAGTGTGTGTGTCCCAGCGTGTCCCTGTGTGTCCCTGTGTGTCTCTGTGTGTCTCTGTGTCCCTGTGTGTGTCTATGTAAGTCTGTCTCTGTGTGTCTGTGTGTCTGTTCGTGTGTGTGAGTCTGTGTGTGTTGGTCTGTGTGTGACGTGTGTGTGTGTGTGTTACGTGTGTCTGTGTGTGTGTTGCGTCTGTGCGTGTGCTACGTGTGTCTGTGTGTGTGCTGCGCGTGTATGTGCGTGTGTGTGTGTCTTACATGTGTGTGCGTGTGTTACCTGTGAGTCTGCGCTACGTGTTACGTGTGGGTGTGTGTGTCTGCTACGCGTGTGTGTGTGTGTGTGTTACGTGCTTTGTGTGTGTTGCGCGTGTGTGTGTTACGTGCGCGCGTGTGTTGCGTGTGTGTTGCGCGCGTGTTTATGTTTGTGTGTGTGTGTTTGCGCGTGTGTTATGTCTACGCGCGAGCGTGTTACACGTGCGTCATGTGTGAGTGCTAGGCGTGTGTGTGTGTGTGTTACGTGTTTTTCTGTGTGTGGTGTGTGTGTGGCTGTGTGTGTGTGTGTGTTTATTTGTGTGTGGTTGTTTGTTTGTTCGCTTGCTTGCTTGTTTGTTTGTTTGTTGTGTGTTTGTTTGTTTGTGTGTGTTTGTGTTTGTGTGTGTTTGTGGTGTTTGTGTTTGTGTGTTTGTGTTTGTGTGTGTGTCTGTGCTTGTGTTTGTGTGTGTTTGTGGGTGTGTTTGTTTTTGTGTTTGTGTTTGTGTTTGTGTTTGTGTTTGTGTGTGTGTGTTGCGTGTGTGCGTGCGCTTGTCTTTGTGTTTGTGCTTGTTTTTGTGCGTGTTGAGTGTGTGTTTGTGTTGTGTGTGTCTGCGGGTGTGTGTGTGTGTTACGTGTGTGTATGTGTTATGTGTGTCTGCGCGCGTGTTGCGTGTGTGTGTGTGTGTTACGTGGTGTCTGTGTGTGTGTGCTACGTGTGTCTGTGTGATATTCGTGAGTGTGTGTGTGTGTTACGTCTGTGTGCGTGTTCTGTGTGTGTGCTTGTTCCTATTTGGCGGTTGATTGAAATCTGTTGTTGCGGGAGAACAAACTAACTTGGCGACCTCCGCCGCGACGCCTTCGCGAACGTGTCACAAACGGTCGCCAAAAATACACTAACCTTTGCGAGGTCCGTGGGGCAGGCGTGCGTGTGGATGCGCGGACGCGTGGGAGCGCAGCCGGCGAAGCTGGGGAGCGGAAGTTTTAATCATAATGTCGCATTGCTATCTGTCTCTGTCTTGTCTTCTTAAATTTTCTCTTGCTCTTTCTCATTATCTCTCCTCTCTCTTCCCCTGCCTCTGTATCTTTCTCGTTCTTTTTCTGTTTCTCATTCTTTTTCTCTCGCTCTCGCTCTCGCTCTCTCTCTATCTCTCTTTCTTTTCCTTTCCTTCTCTTCTCTCGTTCTTTCTCTTCCTCTTCTTTCTCTATCTTTTCGACCTATGTCTGGCCGTGTCTACCTAGCTTTCTTTCTTTCTTTCTTTCTTTCTTCCTATCCATCCACGAATCTTTTCATACCTGCCTAGCCTAACTAGTCTATCCAACCCGGCTTTCCATCTATCCAACCTAACTATCTATCGGCGCATCTACTTGCTATTTCTATCGCTCGCTTTTTGTCTGGCGCTTCTTCGCACCCCGAAGAATCTCACATTCTACATCCCTGAGTATGCGTCGACTGACTCTGTCTACGGATAATATCTATCCGTTCATTCACTTTGCCTACCTATCCATATTCGCCTGTCTACGCGCGCCATCTGCCCACGTGTCCATCTAGCTTGTCTCTCTTCTACCGATCTAGTGTTCCTACCTACCTACCACCTACCTGTCTATCTATCTATGTATCTATCTATCTATCTGTCAATCAAACCTTGCGAAAATTCTGCGCCTGCCACGAAACCTGTGCCTGACCTTGCGAAAGCGCTGCGCCTGCCACGCACGGGTCACGCAAACTGATGTTGCGAAAGCACGCGTGTCCGTGTCAATGGCCCCGGCTCCGAACGCGCTCTGATTGTGGCCCGAGCGCGGCCCGAGCTTGCTCCGACAGGCTAACTTTCAAGCGCCCCAGAGCGTCGGAACGGTCTATTCCCCCGCTACACGCGCATTTTCCCCTCGAACTTTTCTTCTTCTCATCTGTCTCAGAGAGCTAGCTTTCGCCCAGTCGCCCCATCTAAACGTCCCTTGAAGCCCGCTCCACAATTGCACAACTAGGTGTTTTGTCCCACGCCTGCGTGCGAAGCTACATTCCTCCCAAAGCTGCCGGACATCTTGCTTGGGCAACATGGCAAAAGAAGCATGGCAAAGGCGTGTCTACGCCTTAGAATGTTGTGTTTCTGTGTTGGAGAATCTTTAGACACTGTGGGTTTTGACGGCATCAATGCCGAGCGCAAGTGGCATCAAGGCGTGCTGCGCGCGACAGTCAAAGTAACTAAACCCGTTGTGTAGCACATTCCACGCTGCTTACGCCATCGATGAATCACAAGGGTGAACAAGGCGTGGTGTAGCAAACCTGACACATTGGCATGACTTCTTTCGCCTGTGTTGTTTCATCTTTCATCTGGAGCATGGCATTCCTGTCGAACTGTGACTTCCCTTGCGCAAGACTTCTTGAGGATGTGTACAGTAATTATAGTTCATTTACAGGAGGGGGTAGCTTGCGTCTAGCTTGCGCCTTTTACAGCGCATCGAGCTGCGCCTTTGAGACGCGCTGCGACCATTTTGACTACACCCTGTTCAAACCCAACGACTAGCACCCGTGCCTGCAAATCACAACTAATTTCTTGCACACCCACTCAGCTTGTTTAGACATGGGAAAAACTGGTAGAGTAGGTTTGGTGCAATGCTTGGGTTTGCAAAGTTTACTCACGACCGATTGCTCAAAGTGGGAATGTGCGCCCGAATGAGTCAATTGTCTTGCAGCACCGGCAGGGCTAATCCTCAAGCTGCACGATTACACATTGCCCATTTGACTGCTCGCAACATTTGGCACGCCTGGATCAGGGTGACAATCTTCTTGCCCGCCAAATTCTTGAATTCTCGGATTTCCTGTCATGCGATTGTCTATCCAATAGCGTCAAAAGGAGCCCTGAGCAGTCAGCGTAAACTCGAGCAACGGACAACAATACTTCGATCTGGTTGAACTGAATGGGCCACGTGTTTGTGTGAGAAAATATGGATACTGGGTAGGCCCCACGGCTTCCCCAAATGAACAACAAACTACCTTCTTGGTTTCGCCGTTCCGTCTCTGAGCTGCGCGGCGCCCGGCAATATTGCGCGACACCGACAGATTGTCCGCGTGACAGCCTGAAGACAAAGAGAACGCACACTGAAGGCGCACGCAAGCTGTACACCACCCGTAGCAAGCTGCATGGCCTTGCTTGACACGGAAATCCTGCGGAATTTGAGCGCAGTGCCTGAGCAAAGAAAATGCCAACCAGCTATCCTGCCTTGGGCAAGGGCAGCCAAGTACTCAGGTATCTACAAACACCCTTGCGGGTATCGCGACAGACAATTCACATCATCTCCGCTTGCGCGATCGTTGCGCTGCGCCGGCGGCTGCGTGCCAGAAAAGCCGCAAACGACAGGCCGGAGCGCGCTGCGTACCACCCACATAGACGCACTGAAGGACCATGATCCAACCATATCCAACCTGGAGCAGAGCCTGCCCGGAAGCGCGGGAATAATCCCAATACCACAGTGGACGTGGCGCAGTCTGGGAAGTGAACGAATGCACCACCACAAGCTGGCCAATGCCGAATTCGCGCGAATCGCTCCCACAACTGCGCGTTCAACTTGCACGTCCTCGTAGATTTCCAGAAGAGGAGCCATGGCAACGACAGCACGCTTCCATCCTCCCAGGCCACAGAGAACCACTACCAACCACGCCTTCGTGCATGAGCAGCGAAGGCATCACAACAAAGAAATGTCCTACACTGACGTCGCAGTTGCGAACCTGCGTCGCCACTTCAAGCCAAATGGGGGTCACGCCAAACTACGCCCTCCTCCCTGTAGCTTTGTGGCAGCTCCAAGATGCCATCAACGCCGCTGACTGAAACATTGAAAAAATCGTAGGCAACATGAGAGCCAGCAAGCCGAGGTTAAGCCCAGACCTCATTAACCACCCGAACCATCACCTCCCGTTGCTAAATGTCCGCCACGGACAAGTAGTTCCTCGTCCCATCATCATCAAGGCATAGTCGACCATGGCGCCCAAAATCGGTCGAAACAGCACTACCGGCTGGAAGGTTCTTGGGCCAAGTGCTAGCAACAAACTACCAGTCATATTGCCCAGCGCTCATCTCAACTGCTCACAAAACATTGCACTACAAAGTGGAGCAGTGGTCAGCGATACTTGATTCCTTTGGCTGGCATCGAGTAATTGTGTACCCTGCCATCACATGTGTACTGCGTAAGTCTGGCCAGCAGAACATCAATAACTTCTGGGCATAAGTCTTTGAACCTTAGCTCACACAAGCAAGTCAGCAGCGTGTCACACTTCCAAAACCGGAAAACCAAAACACCGGCTTCACTGGACACAGTGTCAGGAGGCCTCACTGATTGCTTCGGTTTCAAGCCCAACTCATCCTGGCACATGCGAGGCAGCGTTTTGCCGACAAGATCACGCAAACCATAATGCACGTCTGATTGTTAACCCATGCTAGCTGCCGAGCGTTTCTGCCATATGTCATCATTTATGTGCGGTTGCCTCTGCTGATCCTGGGTGTGAATGTATGCACATGTTGCAATCGCAAATACACGGTTCCATGTCGCGCGCGGGCATGCAGGTGCACTTGTGCAGGAGCGCGCAAGAAGTACCTGCATGCACGTGTGCACACTGCTGCAGGGAGGTGCGGGCTCGTCAGGGAGGTGCGGGCGTGCTTGTCAGGGCTTGCCATGTGACATGTCCACTGGCATGTTTTCTTCTCCAGATCTGCGAAGCCGGCAGGACGTCAGTTTCAAAGCAGTGAGCTGATATAATTTAAAAAGCGCTCCCCACAATATGCGTAGTCGCCTGTCTCACATGACTGGCATGTAGCACAATGTAGCACATAATCTCTCGGCAGCTTGACCCACAGCTGGTTGATGTTGCCCTTGTAGCCCAAGACAGACATACTTGTCTGGAACTCTTTCCTGAACATGTCCCTTCAGCCAAAGTGGCCAACTTCTCTGATTTGATAGAATGCTTGACAAAAGCAAAGCACCCGTGCCTCTTCAGCTTCCCTTTTGCATGGATATCTAGGAGATTGGCCCACGCTCGGACTGGCGAGCCAAATCGTTCCTGGCTGTTGGTGCCAAAATTCCCGTCAACAACGATTGCTCATCAAGACGATTGAAGATTGTTGAAGGCACCCTTGCCAATGATTTCCGAGTAAAGAACGTACCTTGCCTTTAAAATTGCAATGTACATATATATATATTAATATACTATATATATACTATATATACTGCAGAGACGGGGGCAAAGAGACAGAGAGAGAGAGAGAGAGCTCGACCAATACGGGGCCAAACCAATTGAGCTCAAAGTGAGGTTGTCAGAAAATCACCAACACCTAAGTTGTAGTTCGGGATGCCATTGGAATTCGTGCCTTAATTACATGCCAAATGCTCCAAAACCTGGGTATGCTCAGATTGGGAATGAGGCTGCATCGTGTGTTGGCTTGAGGGTCAGGTTTACAGGCAACTTCCTCCAGCCTCAGGAAGCTCACTAAGCATACAAATTCATGTGTAAAACACTGTTGAACGATTTGAAATTCGGCCGAGCACTCTTGATCTCATTGGAGATGCAAGCAAGTGCGTATTCTGCGTGGATTCCCAGCTTTGTCTGATCTTCAGTGGATCCCGCAGCTGTCTGAGCTGCGGCCCCAAGCACACAAGCACACAAAATCATCCCTCGCGAATTTGAAAGAAAACACTATTGCCACCCCACTCCTCAAGCATCTCGACGAGTTCCTGCAAATGATGAATGCAAAAACCGGAAACATTGGATGTATAATTGGATAATATTGGATACTACAAAGGCAGAATTTCAAGTCCCTTTTTGTTGATCGCGCACCTCTGAATGTGCAGTTTGTGCACTCCTGACGGCGTTGGCGCTGTTCTTCAGGAGGCCGGCGGCTTTCTGCACATTGTTCCACCTTGAAGGAGCAGTTCCAAGGCTAGCTGATTTCGACGTTGATGATCAATGCGGCGTCAAGACAAGCCGGCTTCGCTGCACGGCGCATTATAGACTTCCTCGCTTTGGATGGAGGCTCCAATTCTGCGAGGTGTTCCTTCTGTCACAAAAGGATTGTTCATTTCTTGTCATGGTATCACGAGCCTGCGCTGCCGCGCACGCAGTCTTTCCGAAGACATCCGTAGCAGCCTGCCCACTGGCGACTGCAGGCCTGTAGCATGTGCCTGATTCGAGACCTTGATAAGTTATGTTGGACGCACCCATGCCTCAGGCTCCAGAGTCTCCAATGTTATTATGTCAACTCCTGAGCGGTTCGCGACAAGTGGCAGAGTGTCTGACCAACACGACAGTGCTGATACAATGCTTGCCGCGCGCGGTCGCTCAGCCTTTGATGTCTGCGTACTCAAACAACAGCCGGCGATTTTTCTGCATGTTGATCTCAATGCACAGGCGATTGAAGTCCTAAATCAGGCACACTTCAAACAAGCAAGCAAACAAACAAGGGTACAGCACGGGGCGTTGTTCCTAGAAGAGGCCCAGAATGTCTCAGACCATCTCTGGTTGAAGTTGGCTCATGAGAATTTTCGGCTGGTTTCAGATTTTTTAGGGCTAACTCAGGGTAAGCGTACAGTTGGTTCAGGGTGAGTTTGGTACTTAGCTCTGAAGGGGATTGGTAAGGTTGGATTCAGCCTGGGACGCTACCTTTATTTTCTCGAAAGAAAAGCTTCCCAATTTTACCAGGTGTGTTCCTCGAACATGGTGTTTTCCTTGAAATTGTGGTGCGTTTGTCAAAGAAACTGTACGGTCGGTCCCAAGATACCTCGAAATTGGTGGTGTTCTCTTGGAATAGGTCTTTGACATTTGTTAGTGTTGTTCGTGGCAATTAGTGGTGTTGTGTTTTCCTGGAACTTGACTGCAGTTCCTAAAACATCACTCCGTCCCCCTCCCTCCGAATACTTTGACCTAAAACGTTGGGTATCTATGCACCTGAATGAGGTCAGACACCAGCAGACCGCACCCATCAGACCGGACCCTCGCACCAGCACCCCGCACTCATCGCACCGCACCAATAGACCGTACCCGCACCCCTTGCACCAGCAAATCCTTCCTATTGCACCAGCAGACCCGCACCCACTAGACCCGCAGCACACTGCACCCATCGCACATCGCACCAGCAGACTGCACCCATCAGACTGAACCCATGCACCGGCAGACCGTACCGACAGCAGATCTCACCCATCGCACAAGCAGACTGTACCCCTCGCGTCGGCAGACCGTACCCATCACACCAGCAGACCGCACCCGCCGCCATCGCGCCGCAGTCGTACCCAGTGCACCAGCAGACCGTCGCACATGGCGCCAGCAGACCGTCGCATCGTACCAGCAGCCCGTACCCACCATCAGGTTTGTACCCATCGCACAAGCAGCCGTACCCAGCGCACCAGCAGACCGCACCCATAGGTACCCATCGTACCGCAGACCGAACGCATCGCACCAGCAGACTGTGCCCATCGCACCAGCAGACCGTACCCATCGCCCGTCATCGCACCAGCACCGCACCGATCGCACCAGCAGACCGCACCCATCGAACAAATAGACCGCACCGATCGCGCCAGCAGTCCGTACCCGTCGCACGCGGGTGCGATGGGTAAGGAGGCGGGTGCGATGGGTACACGCTTGTGCGAATACCAGCAGACCGTACCCGCCGCACCGGCAACCGTACCCATGCAACCGTACCCCTACATTCAAGTGTCACCAGAACCCACCCCCGAAGCATGACTCTCGGATGTAGATAAATATATATATATATATATATATGCACGTATACTTCTGACTCATGACATCATGGATATCATGATATTACACCTGGCGTGATGTTGGCATCACATTCATGACATCCCACGAATTCCCACGACATAACATGCATACCGCGACTATCACGTCAAGGCACCATATGCTAAAACATGCCACTGGTTTGCCTCGCAGTACCTTACCTTAAACTACAGCGAGGATCAGTACAATTTTAAGTACAATGCATTTATGTGGGTGTTTGTGACGGCGAACTCAACTCTGCAGCACAGACTGTGGATGTCCACAGTCAACAAACAAATGCACCGTATTTAGATGTATTTAGCGTGCTGTGCCCTTTGTCAATGACCTGCAAGCTGTGTGTGAAAGAAATCATGATCCTGCAAGGCCAAGAGAAACTCTGCTGTGCGTGCTCTGCTGAACTTCAGCTTGCGCTTGAGGTTTGCGTTTTCGAACAATGTGCCTGGTAGTCAAAGCAGACATCTTATCTACAGGCCCTAGAGTAGAGGCGCTAGAGGCCCTAGAGGCCCTAGAGGCCTAGAGGCCCTAGAAACCTTAGAGGCCCTAGAGGTTTAGAGGCGCGAGAGGCCTGAGAGGCCCCAGAGCCTTTTCAAATCCTCGAGGCCCAAGAGGCCCTAGAGAGGTTAGACGGGATAGGAAAGATTGCGACTCCAGTTCGGAGCCCGTAACTTAATGATCGAATGGTGCAGGCTACGCGCGGGTTGTCTTCTTTGCCAGAAATCGATCAACAAAACCTTCCCTATCTAAAAGATCCTCGTAAGGCTCGCCCGTCAAGGCCCTGCCCTTGCCCCGAGATAGCTCCTCTTGGCCAACCAAAGGCTTCGTTTCAATGTCCATTTCAAAGAAGGCTCTCTCCACAGAGCCTCAGCTGTTCTTGAAAGCTCGGCAATGTGTAGGTTTCCGAGCCCGTGGCCATAGCGGTCAGCACACGCATACAGAAAGCTCTTCTTGGCCTTCGGGCTGCGTTAACAGAAAGAAAGAACGTGAAAGAACATGAAAGAACATAAGATAACCCATTCAATAAATCCAAGAATTTGAATGCAAGCCGGCCTCCACTAGCGCTGGCTCCAAGCGTTCCAGAAGAAGCACTTCTTCATGCTCGGCGACAAGCTCCTAACATGCCAAGCGTGCCGGAGACAAGCGTCGTGGGGCGCGCCTCCCACAACCCATCCAAGTCTCCGGTGAACTTCAAAGCATCTGCAGCTGCCTGCACAGGTGCACAGGTCAAGTGTGGCGCCTGCGACGCTGCATTCCAAGGATAGCTCCCGCTTTGCGGTGTCACTTTCGGGGATGGTGTGGCAATATGTAATTACATGGATGCATAGTTGCATGGAGCTACATGCAATCTGAATGCACGAATGCATGCATAGATTCCTATGCATCATGCATTCGGGGCAACGTCGCCAGGGCTGAGCCAAGCTCAGCCAAGTGAGGTCTCAACCAGGTAAGCAGATGTAGAAAGTCGAAAGATGTCGTTCTCTCGATCCCTTTGCGATGCGTCCTCAAAGGCTTCGAAGGTCACCTGTTCCTCCTCCTCAGCATGCCACTCCAAGAAGTGTAGCAAGGCTTATGGCTCCTCTTCCAGTCAGAATTTGCAGCCAGCAACTCCCACACGTAAGGCACAAAAAACGGAGCAAACAATATGCTGCGGGCCCGACGGAATCAATTGCATGGCGCCACCCCGCAATGACCTTGCTCCAAGTGCATGTCGGACAAGCATTGCCGAGCAAACGAAGTTTTAAGGCAATCATCTTCTGCTATAATGACATCTTGCCAATGCTTGCTCACGCTGTCCGCATCAACTCCACAAAGCCACTGGGCATTCGCATGTTGTGTGGAGAATTGTGCTGAGGCCCATCACGCTACCGTGGCGATGTCGGAGAAGACTCCTGAAGTCGCCTTGGGCACATTTCAACAGCAACACAATTCTATGGAAGAATTCGGGCATCGGCTTACTGCTCTCTTTCTAGCCAACTCTTTGGCTCTCTGCTGCAACGCCTCAGTCTGCATAGTCCCAAGACGAAACCGGGCAACATGCTGAGCTGCTAGGTGTGATAGAGGTAAGTCTGCTCACTGCGTCACTGCATGCAAAATCCAGGCCCTGGCTTGGCGTGCTTGCGCTCGTTCTTCATGTTCGATCTGCTTCGGGGTCTTTGCTTGGGGCTGCAGCATGCCCCAACACGCCCCAGTGTATTTTATGTCATTGCCATGACTCGAGCCGAACTTGCAATCAAATTCAGAGCCCCTGCAGAGAGCAAGCAGCTCTTGTGCACAAAGGCAAACAGTCACAGTCATGCTTGCAAAGCTTAACACTTTTCCCAGAATCTTCGACCTACTGTGGTAGGCGGCCGGCTCGCTGTAATGCCTCAATGCGTGCGAGCATTCCATGCAAGCCCTTCCCGCTTAGAACGTTCCGGTTTGTGGACATGCAATCATACAGTGCAGGCAGCAAATAGGTGGTTCTTGCAAATGTGTGAGCCATGTTTGCCGCCTCCAGCACGACTGGGTGCAACTTTTTGGGCCTTGGCATGGTTGAATGATTGATGATCAAGTATCATTTCACCACAGAACTCCGCTCTTAGGAAGCACACGGATCTTCAGGAAGCTTTGTCTGAAGGTGCTGCACCTGTATTGGGCCATGGTTCTTGAAAACATATGCATGTCTGGAAGTGGCGGCAAGCGCTGGCTCTAAGTGGGAGTCCAAATCGCAAAGAAGGCGCTGGAGAGGCGTGGTTATACCTTGGCACCACTGTGCAGCACCAGTACAAAAATGATGTTTAGTACCCCAGGAATGTGTTGAGAAGACGTCCATCTTAGCCGCTCACCAGTCAGCTTCTCAAGCTCCCGATAGAGGTATGCAAAATCCTGACACGACATAAAATGACTACTCAGTGAACGTGCTCACAGTTGATAGAAACTACAGCTGCAGCCACGTGCAGTCTTGAGAGCATGGCCAAAAGCAAGCGGTCACCAAGCGAGCGCCCAAGGCCTCAGGATCAGTGCTGGTTGGAAGGACGACCATCACATCTTAATTTGCTCCAAAGTCAGAATTGTAGGTTCAGTGTGGGTTGCACAGCATTGCCCATTTCCTCACGACACTGTGAGCGCCAAGCTGTCCGAGTATGGTGGAGATGGCGCAGAGACATCTTGCTCTAGCCTGGTCGATTCAGCTCTGCTATCGGCTGATACTAGGAACGCCCTTGAACATGTGTGACTTTTCTGTGAATGCTACTGTCGCAATTGCTGCAAATCTAATCTAACGCTGATTGGCCACAACCCACGTGTGGTCAAGCACATACAGCGGTGGCTCCACTTAATGTCTGCAACAGGCACACTGCCAATCTCGGTCGGAGCACCTTTGCTGAAAGGAGGATGCAATCTCCTCAAAGGCTCGCGCAAAGATTTTCCTGCAGAGTTGCAGCATGAAACGGCTTCACGTACAAGCAGAACTGAATACATTACGAAGCCAGGGAAGGGATTTCAGTCAGTCTTTGAAAGTTTGTTTGTGCACCTTGGCGTTGGAAAAGAAGAAAGCAGCAGGGGATGTCCAGGAACATTAAATGATATGGATACAGTCCAGGCCTCACGCTGTCATAGTTAAGGTTGCGAAGCAGTACCCGGTACATAGCCGTGATGTCCTGGCAAGAAATAACAGCTTGTCTTTGCACTTCCATTCCAAAACCTCAAGTGGCAGATGTTCAATGCTCCTTGACAAGGCCCTCCAAAGACTCGTGCTCACCCAGACTTGACCTTGCCAGCCACTCTTCACGTGCTGGTGAACTGGGGCGCATGGCTAGGGTTCAGGCTCGCCTTGCAAAGCTGCCATGGCATCCCCCTGGTATGGCAAGTTAAAGCAAACAAACTACTAGCACATGCAAATCAAATCAATCCTAGGATAATGCACTTTGACGTAAAAGTCAAACCTCATCACTTCTCAAGCAATACGTCGCCCGGTCGACCACAGACTACGCAAACACGTCAGTTTCTGCCTGTTCTCTCCCACGGACCGACGCCAACGGGATCAAGCCCGACTGCCGTCCAAGCAAACTGGCTGCCTTCCAAATATCAGCGCCGCCAGTGTCACAATGAGGCACCTGCACAACAAACATGTACTGGGCCCCGAACAGCTCATGCGTTTCGCTGCGTGGCTCCGTAATAGCTTTCCATCCCAAAACCAGCAACCCAACCTGAAGCAAAAACCCGCGACTCACCTTAAAAGCCCTGGCAAAACACGGGAAGACCATGCGAGAAAAACTGCTGCTCCGAGACGTACAAGTTAGTTTAGGCTCTTACCCTCACGGCCTTGCCTGCCAAAAACAATACGCGAAGCGCTGGCCCATAAGACTCCGCTCACCCTAAAATCGTCGCGGTACTTCTGAATTTCATGGGTTGGTTGGGAGACAATGCAGAAATTGCAACCCTATTTGAGTTTCAAAAACAGGCAGTCGAGTCAAAGCAGCGGTCACCGCTTCTCTCTCCATCCAGCGGTGTGGGTTTCGACCACGCGAGCTAGGGGACAGCGCCCCGTCTCAAGGCATGCGCGAGTAACCCCCTCCTGCGCTTCGCTGCGCGCAGCTGAAAGGTTGAGCCTCATCCACCCGGACGCTGTGTAGAGCTCAGAAGGGAAATGCCCTTGTAGAAGGGTGACTCCCCGAAAGAACCAGCGCAAAAGAGTGAACAGCGACGCTGCGCGCACCCCAACTCTGTGACGCTTTCACACCAGTCTGTCACTGGACGCCAAGCCGACTAGACAGGGTGGGCGAGGAAAGAGAAACTAAAGCTGCGGCAACCATTTGGCTGCATTGAAGGAACGACGCACGCCTACCCAAGCCTACTCTCAGAATTGGAACGCCGAAGCACCATCCTCGAGCGCGCAAGCAAGCTTGAAAGATCTGCGTGCGTGCGTCGCTGAATGGAAAGAGAGAAAAAGGGCAACCTCAGGTTTGGTAGGGCGAGTGAGCTCCGCCTGCTGCGCTGCGCACAGGCGGATGAGCCCTCACTCTACCTACGCGCTGCCTTCTCCCAAGGCGCTGCAAACGTTGGTCGAAGAGAGCAAGACTGCGAGGATCTCACCAGCTTGGACTGCCCGCTGTGGCGCAGGCCTCTTCCAGCCCCAAAAAGGCTGCAGAAGGGTTTGGAAAAAGGGCCTCCCACTCGCACTGGAAGGAGTTTGAGTGTGACCGTGATTGACCGTGATGATGAGTGCGCGGCCCGCCATGTCGAGCGCATCTACACCACCCAAAGAAACTCAGGGCAGAAGCTGTGGAGCTGTGGGAATGGCTCACATCGGGTTGCATGGGTCCCTGGTATAGATCCGGATTCTTTTGAATAGCCCGTAGAACAAGAAGAGCAACGCATATGGGCCGAATCTGGCGGTGTAAGAGATGAGAGTGTAACCTACAAGGAGCCCAAGCTAGCCTTTTCTCCCAACACACAAATCGGGGCCTGACTGGCCTTTAACAAGCGCACGCGACCATCCACTATCCAATCCCTGAGCCAAAGGAGCAGTTGTGTTAGACATGGAATTGTCACGTGACTGGATACTTGGAAGCAACCCCACCCTCCGTCCTTAGCTGAGCGAAAGCTGGCTTGGATTCCAACTCTCCACAAATGTCATGCTGGCCAAGGGACCCAAAATCAAGAGCCCCAACAGTGAGAAATGTTCAGGCAAAAGGGCGGCGCTTTCCCCCGTCTTGTGGTCTCAATGGATGCACAATTACGTTGTCATGCCTAACTGAGGCATGCGCTTTGAGCCAACGTTGGGAATGCTTCTCGTACTGAACACGAAGAAGATCCTTATCAATGAGATTGCTGATTTACATGCAAATTGCTTGGATCGCTGGGGCTAAGTCGCTGAGCTTGCCAAAGAGGGCACTGCGGTGCTCTGCAAACTCCTTGAGGCGGTCGATTGGCATGCACCGCATGCGCCCAAAGAAAGCCCACCAATGCCAAGTGGCTGATGCTATCTTTGAGAGGTCCCCCAGCAAAGCCACGACCTGATGAGTGCGCTGAGATGCTTCTGGGAGCTGCCTATCAAATTCGAACGCTTGATGAGGTGAAGAAGGTATATTGGCTGAGGTTCAAAATATGTAGCCGCACTGTCTGCAAGATTGTCGAACTCGGCATGTGCGAAAGTCGCTGCAACATGTCACTGCTTCGAAGCAGTTGATTGCTTTGTCTTCCTAGCTGCCTAGTTCCAACGCCACCACATCCCGAGCCTACGCAGCTACTAGTAGTCGCTCCTACTTCACCTTCGCAGGGTGGCAGCAACCCGACCAGTTGGTTTCAAGCTTGAGCGGATACAGCGGCCGATCATGTATATGTAGGGCAAAGCCAGTCAAAAAACCTTTCCAGCACTGGCCAGGCTCCTTTTTGCGCTGTGGTACGGGTCCAAATTTTGGCCTGCAAAAAGCCTACACAGACTACACAGAGCCTCTGGTAAGAAACATGTTGGCTCTTGAAATGCACCGTGACTTTGTGTGCTCTAGGCAAAGTCGGCGGACTCAAAGCTATGCCTACGCGAAGCGCGCACCCCACCAGGATGCCCATGCCACCGTGACCACCAATGCGCTTTTGTTTATCTGCATAGACGGGTGCAATAGGGAAGCCGTGATGGAAGGCTGTCTTGCAGTTTGACTAAAAACAACTTCAAAATGCAGCTCTGCAGCAGTGCTGTCCACGCTGGAAAAGTTCCGAAGCCAACCCCAGGCATCGCCATAAAGAAACAAATGCGCTGGCTCGGGTGATACTTCCTTCCCGCCTCCTCATTTGTTTTTTACGCACGCAGCTTCTATAAGAAGGCCAAAAGCTATGCATGCGCAGTTAAATTGCCCGGCTTGCTGAATCACAATAAAACTCTGGGTGTCCCTTGAGGCAAAGGCCATGGCGCCCCTGGCAGCAGCCTGAGCATTCCCATGGCTTTCGCCTGAAGCGCCGAGCTGCGTTTGCAGCAGCCTGGCAAAGCATTGCCTGTTTTCTGCTGACATGTGGCATGCTCAACACGAGGCTACCAAAAGTTTGCCAGAAGCACGGAAGGACTTGTGCCATCAGGCCACAGCCTGAGCGATGCCCATCTATCCGCCGACCCCTTCTCCTCAAAGGGGGAGGCGCACGGGAAGGGTGGTTACAGCACAAGTCCAAGGTGGGTTGGTAAATGAGCATATCCGAAGATTCAACATTATCAGCGTAAGCAATACCGTCATCGTAGCATCCTTTGCACCTCAAAGATGATGATGACCGTGATGATGACGATGATGAGCGACGGCTATGATGAGGATCCTTATCTTTATCTTTTTCATCTACGATTCAAAAGTCCCGTTAGACCCGATTGGAGATGCAGAGGGTGCGTAGTCATCATTATCATGATGACTGTTGGTGATGCAGAGGATGCACGCGTAGTCATCCTTCTCAGGATCCTTATCTTTATGTTTTTCATGATGGTTATCATCGATGATGATGACCGTGATGATGACGATGATGAGGGACGGCTATGATGAGGATCCTTATCTTTATGTTTTTCATATACGGTTCAAAAGTCCCGTTAGACCCGATTGGAGATGCAGAGGGTGCGTAGTCATCATTATCATGATGACTGTTGGTGATGCAGAGGATGCACGATGATGGTTATCATCGGTGATGATAACGGTGATGATGAGATTGGAGATGCAGAGGGTGCGTCATTATCATCATGACTGTTGGTGATGCAGAGGATGCCCGCGTAGTCATTATCATCATGACTGTTGGTGATGCAGAGGATGCACGATGATGGTTATTATTGATGATGATGACTGTGATGATGACGATGATGATGCAGAGGATGCACGATGATGGTTATCGTCGATGAGGATGCACGATGACGGTTATCATCGATGATGATAACGGTGATGATGAGATTGGAGATGCAGAGGGTGCGTAGTCATCATTATCATCATGACTGTTGGTGATGCAGAGGATGCACGCGTAGTCATCATTATCATCATGATTGTTGGTGATGCAGAGGATGCACGATGATGGTTATCATCGATGATGATGACCGTGATGATGACGATGATGGGCCACGCCTAGTTCATCATAGTTCATCATCACACCATATCATAATTCATCATAAGTTATCATAGTTCATCATCATCCCTTTTCAGCAAAAACGATGATGAGCGACGGCTATGATGAGGATCCTTATCTTTATGTTTTTCATAAACGATTCAAAAGTCCCGTTAGACCCGATTGGAGATGCAGAGGGTGCGTAGTCATCATTATCATGATGACTGTTGGTGATGCAGAGGATGCACGATGATGGTTATCATCGGTGATGATAACGGCGATGATGAGATCGGAGATGCAGAGGGTGCGTAGTCATCATTATCATGATGACTGTTGGTGATGCAGAGGATGCACGATGATGGTTATCATCGATGAGGGTGCACGATGATGGTTATCATCGATGATGATAACGGTGTTGGCTTAAACAGGCGTGGAGAAGAAACAGGAATCAGCTTGCAACGCTTAGCAGAGCTGACTGCGGCAGCGACGCAGTGGCGATGGTTGCTTCTGGACGAGTTGAGTATGGTCAGCGCAGAGTTGCTCGCACGCCTGGAGCTCCGCTGCCGCGAGCTAGTACGAGATGCCTCACGGCAGAAGTACGCCGCGGGGTGCACGACAGCTCGACCTTTCGGGGGGCTAAACGTGATTCTCTCGGGGGATTTGTGGCAGCTTGCACCGCCACGCGGCACCTTCCTGGGAGCAATCCCAGCTCAGATGCTGCGGAACAAGGGCGTGAGCACGAAGCTTCCGCATGCGGCCTACGGCCAGCAGCTGATCTGGGGCGGGCCGAAAAACGGCATCCAAGGAGTCACCGAACTTGTCACGTGCGAGCGCACGCAGGCAGGAAGAGTTCCGACACGGCAAGCTGTCAGCGTCAACGCACGCGTTCTTGCATGGGCAGCCGACGTCTGTCCCCGGCAGCTGGCAGAGCGGACGCGCAGCTTGCGGCGACGAACGCTGTGCAAAGCTACAGAGAGAGCGCGCCGACCCCGCGCGCATCCAGCGCGAAGAATGCGGCGTCGCGAAGAGCGGCGCTCGAAAGCACTCGTCGCCATGGCAGAGAGCGACCCACGTTTTCAGACAGATTTCCACGAAGCGACCTGCATTTTCGCCACCAACAACGTGAAGTACCACGTGAACCGCTATCGCAGAAGATCGCGCCTCAGCAGAGGTGCTATGGACGAAGACATGGTGACCTGGCTGCAACGCCACGATCGCGAAGCTGGAGACCTCTACGGCACCTTGCCACTGTGCATTGGCATGCCTGTAGCTGCCACAGACCACTTGGATCGAGAGAGGGGCGTGCTGCGTGGATGTTCGGGACGAGTTTGCGGCTGGACGCACGACATCCCAAACGCCGAGCCCAGCAAAGAAGATGGAGAAGTCCGCTTCTGGACGAAATTGCCCACCGCAGTGCACGTGCAATTCAAAACCAAGCGAAAGTGGCGCGTGAAGGGTGTGGGAGACGACTGCATCCTTCCAGTCGCACCAGTTCGCCGCGCCTGGCACTTAGATCATCGTCGAAGCTCAAGGTTTCGCGGAGACAGCTCCCGCTATGTCCGTACTTTGCCATCACCGCCCATGCAGCGCAAGGCTTGACCATGCGCGAAGGAGCCGTTGCTGACATCGCGATTCGACCTGGCGACGATCCTCTGACTTGCTACGTCGCCGTGACGCGCGTGGAAGGGCGAGAACGCCTGCTCATATTTCGTCCTTTTGCCCTGGCGCCTTTCCAGCGCGGAGACGACGCGGGGCGAAACCTATTGCTCCAAGAATGGAGAGGAGAAGCAATAGACTGGGAGAGGATTCGCGAACAGTACGTCGTCGAGAAGGCATGCAGCGAGCGCCGGGAACGCAAGGAGCCACGTGGGTACACAGCAGGTCAATGGAAGCGCGACGATGCGAGCCGTGTCTGTAAGGAATGCGTAGGCAGGCATGAAGCAAACGGGTATCCGTGGCAATGCTGTGTCTGCAAGTGCTGGCAGCCCACCGCCGCCTTCCACGACAAATGGCAAGGCAGCAGAGCAACGCTGCAACGTGTGTGTCTGAACTGCAAGGAAACAAAACGATGCTTGAAGTGCGGGAAACTAAAGGCTTTCCCACGAGCTTCTGCCATCTGTGTCTGCACAAAGTCTCATGCGCGTTGCCCCAGCACGTCATGAGTTCTTCTCTTCCCCTCGCTTCCATGTGCGCCGTATACAACATTCCCTCAAGCACTCACACTGGGCCCGCTCCTCAATGTAGGACATAGCCCAGCGCCTTGGCCGGATAGACAACGGTGCGTAGCTGCGTCCAGCTCGTGCAGTTCCTGGTAGCATTCGAGTCTGCTTCACACTTTGCGATCCCCGCAAACTTCTGCCTTGTTCTAACCTTTTCTTACCCTTTCCATTCGCCACACGCTTGCACCACGCGTGCCTGCTCAACGTCAGGCCAGCCTGTGTCTTCCTACAAGCCTTGCATTCCCCACGTACTACTTTGCAGCCCTCTGCGCGCGTGCCAATCATGTCTCTCCTACGCTTGGTGCGCCTTTCTCTTGCCTTCACGCGCTTATGCCATTCGTGTCTGCCCGACACTTGGTTGCTCTTTGTCTTGGATTCCCCGCCTTAGGCGGATAAACGCCACAAGGTGTGAGGCTGTGTCCAGCTTGTGCAGGTGCTTCTGGCACTCATGTCTGCTCTGCTCGGTGCTTGCAACCCCCGCCGTTCCTGCCATGCGTGTCTGCCCGCCACTTGTTATATCCTTCTCTTGCCTTTCCCACGAGCTTCTGCAGTCTGTGTCTGCGCACATGCGCGTTGCCCCAGCACGTCATGCCACTTATTATGTCCTTCTCTTGCCTTTCCCACGAGCTTCTGCGCAGAGTCTGATGCGCGTTGCCCCAGCACGTCATTAGTCCTTGTCTTCCCCTCGCTTCCATGTGCGCCGTATACAACATTCCCTCACGCACTCACACTGAGCCCGCTCCTCAATGTAGGACGTGGCCCAGCACCTTGGCCGGACAAACAACTGTGCGTGGCTGTGTCCAGCTCGTGCAGGTGCTTAAAGCATTCATGTCTGCGCCACACTTGGCGACCCCCACAACTTCTTCCTTGGCCTAGCCTTTTCTGGCCCTTTGAGTTCCCCACATGCTTACGCCACGCGTGCCTGCCCGACGCTTGGCTGGCCTTTGTCTGCCTACAAGCCTGCCTGCGCCTTCCTATACACTACAGATTCGCCAGTTGCTTGTGGCGTTCGTGTCTGCAAACTTCCCTTGTTCGAACCTTTCCTTACCCTTTCCATTCGCCACATGCTTGCGCCACGCGTGCCTGCTCAACCCCAGGCCAGCCTTTGTCTTCCTACAAGCCTTGCACTCCCCACGTGCTACTTTGCAGCCCTCGTGGCGCGTGCCAATCGTGTCTGTCCGACGCTTGGTGCGTCTTTCTCTTGCCTTCACGCGCGTATGCCATTCGTGTCTGCCCGACACTCGGGCGCTCTTTGTCTTGGATTCCCCACCTTGGCCGGATAAGCGCCACAAGGTGTGAGGCTGTGTGCAGCTTGTGCAGGTGCTTCTAGCACTCATGTCTGCTCTGCGCGGTACTTGCAGCCCCCACCGTACGTGCCATGCGTGTCTGCCCGCCACTTATTATGTCCTTCTCTTGCCTTTCCCACGAGCTTCTGCCATCTGTGCCTGCGCAAAGTCTCATGCGCGTTGCCCCAGCACGTCATGAGTTCTTCTCTTCCCCTCGCTTCCATGCGCGCCGTATACAACATTCCCTCACGCACTCACACTGGGCCCGCTCCTCAATGTAGGACATGGCCCAGCACCTTGGCCGGATAAACAACTGTGCGTGGCTGTGTCCAGCTCGTGCAGGTGCTTGAAGCATTCATGTCTGCGCCACACTTGGCGACCCCCACAAACTTCTTTCTGGCCCTTTGAGTTCCCCACATGCTTACGCCACGCGTGCCTGCCCGACGCTTGGCTGGCCTTTGTCTTCCTACAAGCCTGGCAGTCCCCGCGCGCTAACTTGCAGCCCTCTGCGCG